AACAGCGAGAAGTCTTTGTTAGGATATAAATGTCAAGATTCTATGTTTGTTTAAAAGTTCAGTTTTCGAGATGCATTAAATCCAGAGGGGGGAAGTAGTTCATACCGTTGCTTTTCTACAACCGTTTGGACATTTTATCGTAGTTGAATTGTTTATTATGGAAACGCTCTTCTATTTTGCCTGTTTGTTGATTTTGCTGTAACGAAGCCCGTTCGAGTATGCAAGCCTTGAAATTTTAAATGAAACTCGAGTTCATGTGTGAAATGTCTTCGTCGGAAAATGCAAGTTGCGACATAAAGTTCTAAGCTTCGATAAAAATCGAACAAACCGTCCTCGAAGTTCACTTGCCGTTACTTTAATCGAAGGGTTTGTCGAGGAAAATAATATTATTGTAACTTGTCAAACCCCTCATTTACCCCGCCTAGTTATTCAAGTGTGAGAAAGATTCAGTTGCCGCCAATCTTCCCTATTTTTTTTTAAGGAAAGTTTCTTCCAAATTCTCGACTAATTTACTACATGACTCAAAAGTCGGCATTGCGAAGGCACCTGACTTTCAAACAAGTAGAAACCATTACATTCCTCTAGTCACATCTTTGGTTTAAAAGTAAGAACTAAATTATACTCTCTCCTAACTGAATTACCGAAAACAGGAAACCAAGCTAACCTGAAAGTGGGGCTAAACCACTCCACTTCCAAGCTTTAAAGATGACAAGTTAATTTATTATTTGGTTGTTCTCGATAGTGGAGTTTGATTATTGGTTTATTCTGAACCTCAAACCAACCTTGCACGTTACTTTCGAGTCGAATTGAGAGAAGATCAATTCCTGGGAAAGAATTCTCGGGATAGTACCAGTTTCGATCGATTATGACAGATTTTTCAAAACTTGAAAGCTGAGTGACGGACGAGGATGTCGTAATTTGCATTAAAGAGGAAGTGTTAGTTTGCGTGTTTAAATCGGTCATTGATGATCAAGTTTATCAATACTGTATGGTGTTGGCTTAATAATCATATCAAGTAACCTAACATCCTTTTCTAGCTACCATTCAGGTTTAGCTATAGAGCTGTTTGCCTTGTTTACATCGCGACAGTACTCTGACCGAAAGTCTACAAACGATTGTAAATTAGCCATTTTCAAAACGAGCGGCGGTCTGGGTACGATTTGCCACCCTAGAGGCTCTTGGGATCGTTTGGAGGGACAGCAAGAACATGGTGGACAAGAGCAATGCAACCGTGCGAGACGCTCTCAAGGTTATTCTGACAGAAGAAGATATACCTGGTGCAAAAATTCCTCGCGAAACTGTAGAACAATGTAGCGTCGTTCAATTGAAAAGGTGGTTGCTGTGCAGGGGAGCAAAGACTACGGGAAATAAGAAAGCATTGATAACAAGGTAGGTTCACTCGAGGTGTATATTTTCATTTAGTGGTGTACATATGAGCTTAAATTATATCGAAGGAGAAATTGTGTCGTTTTATTTTGTTTCATTCCAGTCATATATCATGTTCATATTTTTCAGAGTTCAAGATTACATTAAGCATGGACTAGACGTTAAATATCTCCGTGATCCAGACGGTGGACTACACCTTCTCCGCAAGAAGGCTCAACTTGGAGTGCTGGAGGAGGAAGAGCCGCAGCTCAACCAATTCTTTCCAAAAGAAGGATACAAACCTGATTTTAAAGATTTGCCTAAGATAGCTTTTGGAACCGTTTGGCAGTTTATGATTGAAGGAGTTGAAAGTAAAAAACAACTTTCCACTGCAAAGCCCCTAGTCAAGGGATTTAACTTCTTCAAGTCAGGGCATGTTTTATACATTGGACATCTGCACCAAAATGGAAAACATTATGTAAAAAGCCAAGTTCTGCCATCGATGAAAAAAGATAAAGTATACTCTTGTTTTCTGTTAATGTCATCCATAGGTTGTGTGTTAAAAGCACACTGTAAGTGTCCTGCTGGTATTGATGGCCGTTGTAACCATGTGGCATCTACATTGTTTGCCCTTGAACAAAGCTTTAAGGAGACGAAAAGGAAAAATTCGGATGCAGCTGAGTCCTGCACATCTAAGCCTTGTAAATGGAATGTGCCAGGGAAACGCAAGGGTCCAGTGACACCTATCTCTGAGATGAGCTTTGTCAAACATGATTATGCTAAAGAAAAGAAAGCAAAAAGGCCAAAGCTAGCCTCATGTCCAGCACAGAATGGTACCTGTGTATCAGAAAAAAAAGTCTGGCCAAGTGAAAGATTACAAAACTTCCATAAATCTTTAAAAGAATATCAAATGAAATCTGGGAGAGCTGTTGGATGGACACATATTCTTCCTCAAAAGGTAAATAATCTGGAAGAGCCACTCATCTCACCCATCAAATGTCATCCAATATCAGCTGATGAACTAAGAGTGAGATTTGAGAAAGTGAAGAGGAACATTAATTTTGATGAAGAAAAAATAAAGAAAGTAGAAGAGCAAACACGAGGGCAGTCAAACTCAAATTTGTGGCATCATCACAGGCAGCCCAGGATTACTGCTACAAATTGTTACAGAATAGCTGTGCAAAGGGAAACAACATCACCAACAAAAATCATCCAAGATGTCCTTGGTTACAAAAAACCATTTCAGAGTAAATACATGCAAGAAGGACTTGAAATGGAGGACAGGATCATAGCTGCTTACAAATTATTAAAGCAGGGGGAAGGGGTTACTGATATATCCGTAGAAAAATGTGGCTTTTTCATTTCCAAGCATCATGGGTTACTCGGAGCAAGTCCAGACGGATTAGTGTGTGACCCTTCTGCAGAAGACAGTAAGGGTCTTCTTGAAGTGAAATATATTCAGATGGAAAAGCAAGAAAGTCTGGAGGAGGCTCTGCTCCGAAAAGGAATTTGCAAGAAGTTTGAGGAATCTGTGATTTTGAACTCAAGACACAAATATTATTTTCAAGTACAACAGGCAATGTTTGTGGCAGAGCAAAAATGGACTGACTTTGTGGTTATGGGAACAGCCTCTTCCACACCTTTTTGTGAGAGAGTTTATTTCTCACAAGAACACTGGGATAGAATATTCCCAAAACTTGAATCATTTTTTAACTGCTGGATTGTACCAGAACTTTCATATCCTTGTGTGAAATATGGGCTCCCCAAAATTGATGCGCGCATGTTTTGAGAGCTTTTTGTTTTAAGAGTTTTATTCTTTTTCATCTACTAGAAAACTTATAACTGAAGTTGTATTTCTTAACATGTCCAATGTTGAATAATATCATTATACTATACGCTGCATGTTTTGGCAAACCTAGATTTAAATGTGTAGTCAAAGCATTTGCAATGCTAAACCTAAAATGCAAATGACCCAACCTACTATCATTGTGTGATGTAGCTGCTCCCCAAAGTAAGCTGAATTTGAATCACTCATTTGACTCCAATTTCAATACCAATATTATTGTTTGGTCCAAACAAAATTTATTTCATTACACCATTTAATGAAAGTTATTGCAATATGAATGTTTTCGTGTTTCATCATCAACATGTGTCATGACAGTTAACAATATTACATGATAATTTTTAATTTATAAGAGGGGGTTGAAAATTTGACAAAGCACAGACCACTACAAGCATGTCTGATGCAATAGGTGCAATAGTAATTGGTATCTTATGGTCGAAGATGTGCCAGTTCTTTATACGTTCCATGAGCCGCTCCACATGAACTCTTAGGCTAGCAACCACCTTGTTGTGATTTGTTTCATTTGTGGAAAACTGTATCTTCTGTTCTAAAAATTTTGGTATAACAAGGCTTGCACCAACAGAAGCTAATTCATCCTGACAATTGAACCCTTTGTCAGCCAGTACCTGGTCACCAGGATTTAGTCTGTCTAGAAAACCACTAAGAACAGTTATTTCCTTATCTGAGGTTGAACCAGGAAATAAGTCACTCACAAAACATAAAACACCGCTTGGCGTTATGCCCAACAGTGATTTCATGGTGGTTCTTGACTTGTATGATGAAAAACAGGTAGACTGTGAATCAAGAGCAGATGGCCTCTCCATTTCAAATTCCGTGCAATCGACAATGACTGTTACGTTAGGCAACAGTTTCTTAAAACTGTCAGGCCTATAACATTGAAGTACTTCTCTTGGGGGGATGATGATAAGAGGTTCAAATTCCCTCCTCAAAAATGGAATCCAGGCATTTACAATCTTAGAGACAGTTGATCTTGAAACCAAAAATCGATGAGCAAGATCATTCTCAAACAAACCCAGCCTCAAGCGCAGCATAACAAGGGTAAACTCCTGGAATTTAGTAAGTACTCTGGGTCTCCCAACATTACCGTTCGTGGTGGTCCTTTTGTGCCCATAATTAATATTGCTAGAGGCTTGTTCTACAGTTTTGTAACAAAGAATAAAAGCATTGTAATCGGGAAAGCCGGTGTAGAATGCAATATCATCATCTTTATCTTTAAATTTGCTTATGTCAAATCTATTGTTATCTAAAGCATGCTTCAAGCTTTCGATTTCCTTTTGTAATTTGCTGTTCACCTCTTTTATGTTGTTGTTTTCTTTCTCCAACTGCTGAATCTCTCCCTTAAGCTTAACAATTTCTTGTTCTCTTGTTTGCATTCTGTTGTATAAACTGTTTAGTTGGTCTCCAGTAAGTAACGTTTGCATTTCCACACTGGTACTGGTGTCAGCATTAACATTCATATTTTCTGTCTGTTCTTCAAATTTAAAGTTCGCTTCCTGTGGTAATTGAGCAAGTGCTGTTTTTCTTTTTTTGGTTTGCTCTATTTTCTGTACATCTTCGAAACTGGCCCTCTTGCGTTCTCTACGTTGAGCTGTCGGTTTTGTCCATGGAAAAATTGAAGGCAAGTGCGTTCTGCTAAGTTTTTCTCCTCCATCGAAATGAACTGAGCAAATCCGCGTACTCGTAGAATCTAATTTCAGAGTCTCGTTCCTCATAAGAACCACGTACTTTCTACGTATATGAGGGTCTTTTGGAATTCTATAATACTGAAGGTTAGGTGCATTTCTGTAACTATTAGTGCANTTGCCGTCAATATATGCACATGCATCTGTGTATACAGCGACTTCTGGGAAAATTTCTCATTGCCTGAAGACATTTTTAACGCTAAATTGACTTAAATTCCAGGGGTGTGAATAATATGCAGACCCTTTTCAACAATCAGAACATCACAGTGGTGAAACATAACACCAAAACTTGCATACTGATAAATATTTTATGGGGAAGGCTACATTCTCTTTTCCAGCAAAATAATCTCCTCAAACTAAGTGATATTTGTCGAATAATCCTAAGGCTTTGTGCAGGGGATCCTACAAAGTACCGACTAAAATTATTGACTTCACCCGGGGATAGCCTTCTGACAACTACCCCCCGACCCAAAATTTTCTTATGCGAATTAAGGGTGCACTTCCAGCGATCTAACTTACAACTGCAGTATATCTGTTTATCCATATTTCTATGTTTTGAGTGCATTCGAAAATCAAAACAATTTCACGGCTCGTACTCTGCATGTGCAATACATCCAAACTTGACATCCATTATTAACCCCTTCTTCCATTTTTCACTGAATGTGGAAATTCTCGAAAAAAGGCAAGATGAGAGCCTGATGTGTACGAGTTTCAACGTCTACAGTTTGGAAACACTGCTTCACCATTTTGTTCACAGTATTTCCTTCAGACCCATGCCAAGACACATGCTTTGGAGTTCCCTGAAGCAGCAAGCACTGTTGAAGACTCGATGTATGTAGATGATGTAGTAGACTCTTGTGAGGACGTCAAAAGTACTCAACACCTGCGTCGCCAGCTATCTACTCTAATCGCCATGGCAGGCTTTAAATTGAGGAAGTGGTCCTCCAATGTACCAGTTGTAATTGAAGATATCCCAAATGAAGATTGGCTACCTACCTTGGAGTTAGACAAAGACAACGTGCCTAAGACCAAAACTCTAGGAGTTATGTGGGAAGCCAAAAGAGATGTCTTTACTTTCCAAGTGCAACAGCCACTCACCAAGCGAAACGTACTTAGTGCTATAGCCAGTCTGTTTGACCCACTTCAGTTCTTGGCACCATTTACAGTGAGAGCAAAGATCCTTCTGCATGAGATATGGATGGCTGGTGTGGATTGGGATGACAAGTTACCGGAGAATTTAAAAGCCAAGTGGAAGAAGTGGGTATCGGAGCTCCCACAATTGTCAAATGTTGCTGTTCCTTGTTGTTTGCGTTGAGCGAACCCACAGAACATTGAACTACACCTATTCTCAGATGCATCTAATGATGCCTTTGCATCCATCGCCCATTTAGTCGGTCGATACCAGGACAGCAGCCCCTCCTCTCGCCTTATTGCATCAAAGTGTCATGTGTCTCCGGTGAAGGCGATGACAATTCCTTGCCTAGAGATCATGGGTGCCGTCCTTTCAAGTCGACTTGCCCAGAACATCCTGAAAGTGATCACCGTGGACAGAATCACCTTCTGGACTGACTCAGAAAATGTGTGGTACTGGGTTCGCAACCAAAGCCGCGAGTTCAAACCATTCCTTGCCAACCGAATTGGCGAAATTCAGCGAACGACAAGTCTGGAACAGTCTGGCCAAAGAGCAAGAAATATTAGAATAAAACCTGCATAAACAAGCTGAATGTGGGTATGACGTCTACAGGTCTCTGAGTGTGGCTTGTTATGACCATGACTGATGGATTTCTTGGAGCAAGCCCTGACGGCATGGTGCACGACCCTTCTGTAGAAGATTCACAAGGATTGTTAAAAATGAAATATGTTCAAACTGACAAATATGACTCCTTGGAGGATGCCTTGTTGCACAAGAGAATTTGTTTCAAAGATAGTGAAGGAATTCACATCAATAAAAGCCATCAGTATTTTTATCAAATACAGCAAGCTTTGTTTGTCACTACAAGAATGTGGGTAGACTTTGTAGTCAAGGGCTCTACATATGAAGAAATTTATATTGAGAGAGTTCTACTTGATTCCACATGGTGGCTTGAAGTAAAACAGAAGTTGGAACATTTTTTTGATGCACACATATGCCCAGAACTTGCCTTTCCAAAGATAAAGCATGGCCTTCCAAGAGTTGATCTTTTAACCAGAAGTAATTAAATCATTTGGAAACTTATTATCTTTCTTATTTATATGAAATGGGAATTAAAATAGTTGTTACGTATTGTAATAATTGTGTAATACTAGAATATATTGTAATAACAAGTTCAATATTTGTCATTAAGATATTTATTTGAGTATCATAATAGTTGTACATTTTTTCTTATACTAGAGTAATGACACTTCCCCATGGAAAAAGCTAAAATTACTTTGTTTCGTTATAAAAGCATATTTCAAGCTCTCAATGGTGGTAAAAAATTTGAGAAAGCACTTATCACAACCACAAACGTCTGAAGCAAATGGAGCCATACTAATGGTTATTTTCCTGTCCAATATATGCCAGCTTTTCAGTCTTTCAATCATTCGCTCAACATGAATTCGTACGCTTGCAATAGCTTTGTTCTTAGTTGTCTCTTGCATTGAAAACCGAGTTTTCCCCTTTAAGAAAGCACCCNGGATCACCAATGAAACACCAACAGATGCTAGCTCATCTTGGATATTGAGCCGTTTGTCGGCCATTATTTCATCTCCATGCTCTAGTTCATTCAGAAGTCCAGTCATTTGTGTGATTTCTTTTTCAGATGTGCTTCCTGGAAAGAAATCACTTACAAATGCAAGCACACCACTTGGAGTAATACCAATCAGTGCTTTCATTGTAGGCTTGCTCTTGTAAGATGAATAGCATGCAGATTGAGAGTCTAGGGCAGAAGGTCTATCCATTTTCACTTCTGTGCAGTAAATTATTAGAGCAACTTTCGGGAAAAGCTTTTTAAATATTTTTCGGCTGTGAAATCTAAAAACATCCCTTGCTGGCATCTTGATAAGAGGCTCAAATTCTGATCTTAAAAATTTTACCCATGTCCTTGCTATTACAGAGATGGTTTACTCTGAAACTTCAAATCTATGGGAAAGGTCTGTTTTCAAAGAGTCCTAGTCTTAGTCTCATAAGGACTACAATAAACTCCTGAAACTTTGTTAAACTTCTTGGCCTTCCAATATTTGGCTGTTGGAAATATACTCTTTCATAGTTACCATAGCTTATTTGCTTTGCTGACTCTTCAATAAGGCTGTAACTCAAAAGAAGCATCTTGTAGCTGGAGAATCCTGTATAAAAATCAATATCTTTATCAGTCTTTAAAGTTTTCAGTGTCAAAACGAGTTGCACAGTTGCTCAATCGCTTTATCTCCACTCTTGCTTCTTGTAATTCGTGCCGTAGCCTTGTATTTTCTTCTCGTAGCGTTTCATGCACAATGTCATTATCAGTTTGGACTGATATCTCCTTAATTTGAGACTCTTGCACATTAGATTCAACCGAAAAAACTCTTAAAGAAAAAGAATGTAAAATTAGAGAATTAAAACAGAAGGAATTCATAGAGAGAAGTTATTATCAAGCCATCGTTCGTTGTTTGTACCCGTGATCATGTCTGGGTCAAAGAACACCAAACACAACGCAAGAGGAGGAAACAAAGGAGAAAGCATGCAGTCACGATGGTAAGAAGTATCATGTATCACATGAGTATCACGTTTTTTATACTATACATATGCATACGATTCACCACACGTGTTACTAAAACGGAATCGTGATTGGCTAAAGATGTATATATGAGAGGGATGTATATATGTTTCCTCCTCTCTCTCTGCTTGGGTATTGTGAAGACGGCTTCTCCAAAAACGTGCAAGAAAGTAATCGTTCAGCAAGAACAGTTGTACTACCTCGTGGACGCCATAGTAGACCTCCTTATGGCAGAAGATAGCGAAGACGAGTGTATCATATTAAAAACCATAAGAGATCCATTTGTCATGAAGCCAGACGAGCTGTTCTACTCCAATGAAAAATACAGAGAAAAAAAGACCGAAGCCATAGACAGCCTTAGGAAGTTATTGCGCTTCATCGTGGAGTGCAAGCTCGAAGAAAAGATGAGAAAAGTCAGCCTCGCGGATGACGAGACTTGAAAGAGCGAGACATTTTGCAAACAAAGTTCCATGTATGTTTCTTTTTAGATGTAATAAACGTGTTTGCATTGAAACGTGTGTACTCATTTGTGTCTCGATCGACTGCCGTAAAGAGCTTCCCGATTCGTATCCCCGAGAACTTTATTACCAGTGGTATCTAGGCTCTCACGAAATCTTTAAAGAACTACTACTACATGTGCGCTCCTTGGGAAATACCAAACCGCCTGAGTTTTTGGGTGGCTGCATGGTCCATGAGTTGACACCACTCGTTTCATTTTACTTTAGAGCATACCCCTTCTACTCACAGTCTTAGTCGGTTAGATTAGTATGTCTAACTCGCGATACCCAAACGCGAAATTTAGGGTCCATTCTCTTTTCTCTGTGTTGTGTGACAATAAATAATGTCAAATGCAAAAACAGTGTGTTTGACTTAATCCCTTCGCCATCTTGGATTCTTTTGTTCCCTTTGTTTGAGATTACACCTTGAAAACCTTTATTTTTTTAAATGAGATACAAAAACCCCACACATGAACCTATGCGATATCCAACCCTAACCCCAAAACCCTAATCCCCCTAAACCCCTCGCGGACCTACGTGGTATGAATATTAATGAACCCTCTCGGTCGAATGACTCGGACCCAGGCCACGCAGAAAGGGCTAGACAGAACCCCTACACTATTCACCTACAGGTCCTCACCATGTTTCCGTCTGGGAAAATGGGGTCAAAGCTTGCAAATATCATCTGAAGCGTATAGTTGGCGAAAGTAAACTCGCGTTCGAAGAGATGGCAACNAAACAATTCAAAATGAAATGATTGCAACTGTGGGTGCTATCATTGTGAATAATTTGTCACAGGAAATTAGGGATAGCAAATATTTCAGTATTATGTCTGACGAAGCAGCTGACATATCAAATAAAGAAAATCTTTCTGTGGTGATCAGATTTCTTGATTCGACCAAAACAGTCAGAGAAGAATTTGTGGGATTCTACCTTTGTGAGGATGGAACAACAGGAGCAGCTATCAAAGATTTGATAATTAGTGCTGTAACTGATTTAGGACTATCTATGAATGACTGTCGTGGCCAATGCTATGATGGTGCTGGCAATATGTCTGGGCGCTTGAATGGAGCTTCATCACTTATTAGGGCTCAACATGACAAGGCTATATATGTTCACTGTATGAACCATAGGCTTAACTTGTGTGTTGCTGACACATGCCAATTACCACTTGTTAGAAACATGATGGATGTTGTAAGAAAAATCTCTGAATTTTTTGACAATTCCCCCAAGCGACAGCAGCATTTGATCAGCAAGATTGGAGCACTGATTCCTGCTGCCAACCACTTTGTTTTGGTAAATGTGTGTAAAACAAGGTGGATCGAGCGCATTGATGGTATGGACCGAATCGTGGAGCTTCTTCATCCAGTTGTGGCTACCCTTGAAGACATTTCCATGAACAGAAATGCTCCTGGGTGTGGGAACTGGAATCATAACAGCAGAAATGATGCGCAAGCCCTAATTAATGCAATCACATTTCCCTTTATTGTTACCCTTGTTATTGTGAGACACATTTTAGACTTAACCAGACCACTCACTGTTAGGCTGCAAAAGAAAGCAATGGATCTTCTTAAAGCAAAAGAGGAAATTGTTCTGTTGAAGTCAGTCCTAAGGGACATGCAAACTGACATTGATACTAGACACCATGCTCTCTATGAAGAAGCTGTTACTCTAGCAAGACTTGTTTCAGTGCAGCCAAGCATGCCCAGGATAAATCAAAGGCAAGTTCATAGAAACAATGCGCCAGCCCCAACCCCAGAATACTATTACAGGATCAATCTGACAACAGACTTCCTTAACCATGCTCTCATGCAACTGAACAGCAGATTTGAAGATGATGTTTTTGTGTGCTATAAAGGATTTTCAGTGATTCCTTCTATTTTGTTGGCTACTGACCCCATTTGGAAGGATAATGTTAGAGAATTTTGTAACCATTACAGACAAGATCTTCCTAATTATGCAGGTTTAGCAGCAGAGCTTATGTTGTGGGAAAGAATGTGGAAGAGCAAAAATGATAGAAGAGAAGAGATCCCTGACAGTATAGCTACCACCCTAGAACAAATTGACAAGGGTGCTTATGTGAATGTGTATACAATACTTCAAATCCTGATAACCATTCCTATTTCATCTGCATCTTGTGAAAGATCCATCTCAACCCTCCGAAATCTGAAGACCTATTTGAGAAATGCAATGGTCCAGGATAGACTGAATGGCTTGGCATTGATGTATACCCACAGAGAAATGAAATTAGACCTTGAACAAATTATAGATTTATTTGCTAATTTACATCCTAGACGAATGAGAATGGAAAATATTTTAAATGAATAATTTAATTTTTGTACCAGACAGTCACTAATGTTTCTAGAGTACTTGTAAGTTATAAGCCGATCCTGGCTATAAACCACACCATTTTCTTTCCCAGTATATACTTTGCTTACAAGTCCATAGCCAGAACTAGCCTCAGCAAGAGTAAAACACTTGATTCCGAAGCGGCCAGGCTTGATGGAAATAAACTAGCGAAAAGAGATTTTAACCTTGAATTTTATGAGGGTTTCATCTAAATCTTCGTCAGACTCTCTGTGTTCCATAATATTGGCAAGAGGCAAATCATCTTCGTCAACAAACTCGATTTGCACCGAATTCTGAGCAAGAAGAGCATTATTTTGATCCGAAGCGGCCGCCATTTTTAAAAAGCTAACTGATCTCACACGTGTTTGAAAATTTTTGAAAATTTATTGCGAAATTGATCGAAAAACTACAATTTTTTACATTCAAATGCGAAATTTAGATTTCGTCCGCCATTTTGAAAAATATCTAGGCCCAATCTCGCTCAGAACGAGAGATACGAGCAAAGCTTGGGGGCTAGTAATTTTCCACGCATATGTGCGTGGCTAGGACTCTGAGGGTTAAAACCTACAGAAACTCCAACACTCCAGACGGCACCGAGGGTGGAGCAATCCACTCAGAAGAAACTGCAGGACTGGCGGATGAGGATAAGATATATGAAAAATTCGACGCCGGCAATGAGGACGAACAGTAAGCCGTTTTACTACGCGTCGAAAACAACAAACCGCTCCTTTGGGGAAGCCACTACATAGATAAAGTCCACGACGAACTTCGAACTTGTGCCTGCAATATCTCGGCTTATCGACGAATATAGAGGTATGCATCTTTTGAATTTGTTATTTCTAAAAATATATGAGGCCACTGAATTTTAAATTTTCGTGGGGAGCATGCCCCCAAACCCCCCTAGTTAGGTTGGTGCAAATCACTCATGTAAAATCCTGGATCCACCCCTGTGAAGCGTATAGTTGGCGAAAGTAAACTCGCGTTCGAAGAGATGGCAACTGTTCTGTGCCAAATCGAGGCTTGCCTCAACTCTAGACCACTTTACACAGCACTCGACTCAAATGATGACGATGGAATTGCTCCACTCACCCCTGGTCAATTTCTAACTGGCAGACCACTCGAAGCACTGACTGACCAAGTTTCAACTACACCCATTTCAACGTTAAAACGATGGTAACTTTGTCAAGCCTCAATACAGCATTTTTGGAAACGGTGGTCTACCGAATACCTTCAATAAGTGGAGGCGACCCAAACGAAGTCTTTGTGTTAATGACATTGTGCTATTAAAGGACAATCGCACTCCACCATGTCAATGGCCCCTTGGGCGAATCATCAGAATCCATCCTGGACCAGACTAGTTGTTTAGAGTGGTCACTGTCAAAACCAAGACTGCAACATTCATTCGACCAGTTGTAAAGTTGTGCCTGCTAATCCCATCAGAGGATACCCTGTAAAGAAACTGTGTACAATTTAAGAACTTTAGCAAATTGTTAGAATCCAGTGCTAAGTATATTATGAACCTCATAAGCTCAGAGAACAAGTATAAGAATGAAATGAACTCAAAGAAACTTTTTTAGGCAACTTTATTAGAAGAAACTCAAAAGAACATTTTCCAGAAACATTATTTGAACTAAGGACGTTGAACTTTATGTTGATGGTATCAAGGCCGGCGGAAAAGACACGCTTGAATCAGCATTCTTATTTGAATATCTGCCCATGCGCAGTTTTGTACACATTGTCATTACCTCGTGTTTTCAAGTTGTCAGTTAATGTTAGTTTTTAACCTCAATTCATGTACAACCTTTGAACAAATTGTACGACTCTTTTGGTCAAAAAATACACAGACTTAAAGTCAAATTTCCTCGTGCCTCATTGAACGAGCCCATCCACTTTCTTCCTTTGCATCGTTTAAAGAAAATCTTGTAAAGTACTCTAAATCTATTGATAAAATATCTTTTGGTTGTAGTTCTACCATTACATTTAAGAACTCTGATGATTTTATATATTTTTAGATGCTATTTCATACTTTTATTTGTTAAATTTGTAAGTTTCTCTGCTTAAATTAATGTGCATTTAAATTACCTAATTAATATATCTTGTCGATATTTATGCATAGCAGGTCTACATCAGCTTTCGCTACTATATTTTTAACCTGCATTGTTAAATAATGCATGTATGTATGTATGTAAGCCAGCAGAACCCAGTACCTACACACAGGGTACTCAAACAGTGGTTGAAGAGCTCGCAGAGCAACTGCGTGTGGATGATGAGGTTACTCTTGCAGCTGAAAGACTTGGGCTTCCTTTAGATGAAGTGGATGATCATGAATCAGATGAATCTGATTATTACAGTGATTTTGAAGATGTAATGAAAGAAGTCCAATCTGAAGCATCATGGTTTCTCCAATTTTTTGTATGTTACAGTTATTTACATTTAAAACAGTGAATTCAAAGAGTAAACACTGACAGAAACTGTGCAATAACGAGAAAAAGAAAAGTTGTGTTGAAGACAAAATATAGTGTAAGAGAATAGTATTTTCCTTCTTGTGCACTGTAGTTTCTCAGGATTTTTAATCACATGGCATGTGATTGCACAAAGGTGGATTCCAGAACTATAAGATCAACTTAACAGTTTTTTTTTTATTTTAATCAGTTCATTTGCCACACACAATTTAGTTACAATGATTAATAAATTACAATGGTTACAAAGTTACAGTGATTAAAGAACAAGAGATAGAAAAGAGTGGGAAAACCATGTACAGATTTACACAATGCTGGCAGAAAATAGGCCCAGATTGCATTTCAGAGTATCATTTTTGGCAAAAATTCCTGCGGGAGACCCCCAAAACCAACTGAGCCCCCCATACCCTCTTCGAATGGTGTGCATGCCTTGCTGTAGCCACCTACTTTATGGACAGAACCTGCTACTCAGTAACCTACCGACAACCCTATATTAACAAGATAAGGTTTCCATTGTTGCCAGCTGAAGCGAAATCCTCTTTCGAGTTCTTGGAACAGTATTGCCTTAAGTTCCTAACCTCCTCGATCACTCTAGGAGACATTTTATAGTCTTTAACTGAAGAAAGAGGCTATTGGTGCGACAGATTCATCGCTCTGCCAATTTAATCTCGTTTCAAATGTGAAAAATACCTTCAACTGCACAACAACCCCAAAAAGACAATTGTTCATGGTCCAACAGGCCCTTTGCCTGCCAGCAAGATTACTCGAGTGCAAAGAGTGCAAAACTACTTATGGCATTGGGCACTTCACTGACGAAAGTGGATCCCATATTTAATTAAAAGGTATTCAGTTGCCTTTGATTGAGGCAAGCAACATGTCCTATGTGGACTGTGATTTCTACAAGTGGATACCAAGCCTTGAGTAAGTGTTGTTCTATCGAAGATATACATTCCCCTAAACTTGAGAAGACAGTTGACTTGTATGCAAATTTAAAATTCTTATCATTTTCCTTTGCTAAGTCCTCAAAATTGCATGCTTACTCTCAAGCCTCAAGCACCAATATCGAATCAAAGGACCAAATAGAAGCATTTGTAAGGGTAAATGGATGAGATAACGCTGCTTGGGGATAATATTCGGTTTGTATGTTCTTGGCAAATTAGTTAAATACTCCTTAACAGTGCTTCTAAAATAGAAAACACTGGCCTGGGTTCTTTCACTACAAAAAGCAACGAACATTATCTCAAGAAATGTCACAAAGGAAATCCACTGTGGAGATATGTGATCCACACAGTCATTTAAAATAAATAGCTGTTTCTCCTGAGTTTGTGGAGCTTTCTCGCCCGCCTCGACTAGCTCCTGCTATTTGTGGGCAAGAACGGTCTTCAGGAACAAGAAAGTGTAAATTAGATCAATAATAATTAGATTAATTAAATTAATTAGATTAATTTGTAATTTGTCATTTCCTATTAAGCTTTCTTCTTATCAAGCTTCGATAAACTTCAAACTTCAAATCTTTCCATTTCAAGATCCCCATGCCTCAGGACAATTGCACTATTTTTGGCATGTGCATAACTCAGAGGAAAGTGCTTACCCTTAATATCAATTATTTGAATAATTATGGAGATTTTGAGACTCTTTTAAGAAAAAAATTATTAAAATTCAAGATTTTAACCAATTCTGGCTTATATATCATAATAAAGCTGATAAAATGTGGTATCAAAATGGATTATAGTGTGGCCGTTTTCACAAGCAGAACTGTTTGATTCACCAGAGTCTGTGTTAGGCTCGTCCATACCGCTTTTATTATCGCCTTCTCCCCCCTCAAAAGTCAGATGTGGCTATCCTCGGGAATATCCATAATCCTAGCAACTTCCTCTGCTTTATACCTTCTCGCTTGCCATGTCACCATGTTGAAATCGCTTTTTGAATGTTTTATCAAATATGAGCAAAAAATTACTCGATTATGATTCCAAATGTTAAGTTAATTTTACCTACGCCTTGTTTAAATACCCCTTCAGGACATTTAAATTGAAGGTTTGAAGAAAAAACATCAAATTCTAGAGAAATAATGCAGCAAAGTCCGTGAAAAATTTCAGCACATTTGTAAACAACCTCAGATATGAAAACTAAAGTCTGACCCAAGAACACTATATCTCATGTAAACAATGATTTTTGTCCATAACATCTTGTGCGCGGAATAATCCATCCTTGACAGATTAAGGGTTGATAGCCCTTGTAAGACCAAGTGGACAGCAAAGCAAGTCCTCGCAACTCAACATGCAGACCCTTCTGATGATGACAGTCAACCAGGGCTTGCCATTGAATTTATGCCAGCACCACCCAATGGAGCAGAACCTCAAGTTCCAGGCAGTACTACAAGCAGAAACAAGAGCACAGCTGATGAATCAGGGACTGATGACAGGCTACCTGTGGGACCTGTTAGGTGTTCAATAAGAACAACTGCTGGACATCATAGTAACCATTACCAACACATGTTCTATGGAGTTTGCTAGAAGTGTTTAGTTCAAGAGATTATAACAAGCAAAAGGGAGGGGGAAGGTGTGACAGTCACTAGATATATCATTTCTCAGAGTACCTACATCTAAAGGTTTTTTTTATTCTGTTTGTTAGGAATTTCACATTATGATTTAGCAAGATTATGATATTATTTAGGAAATCAATGTCTTTACAACTGCATGTGTTAGCTCAAATGTGGTTTCACAGAGACCTTGAATGTTGTTTCATGTGTAGGTAGGAAAAAAGCAAGTGGGTAACGCCTTCATATGTTAGAGGAAATTCCCTACCTTCCACTTTTTGAAATGGACCTTTACTTCTATGAAGAAATGGCATAGTATCCCAGGTGAACAGGCATGTGCTAACCCAGATCATAACAGAGCAAATGTTCTAGAAACTTCCAAGGAAGAACAGGCTAACTTTTTCTAAAACATTTCAAAATGTGGGACCAAACCTGCCATTCTCACCCTAATTGCACCTCAGAATGCTGCATTCGTGCCTAATGAGACCAAATTCCTACCAAAGCCCCTAACAGAGCTATAAAATGGTGATAATTTGAAAACAACTTTCAAGAACCATTCCAAAAGTCAGAAAATGTATTCAATGTGCTAGCAATAAGAAAACCAGAAACTTTCAAGGAAGAACAGGCTAACTTTTCCGAAAACATTTCAAAATGTGGCATCCAACCTGCCATTCACTCCCTAATTGCACCTCACAATGCTGCATTTGTGACTCCCTTGAGACCAAATCCCTACCAAAGCCCCTTGCAGAGCTATACAATGGTGATAATTTGGGAAATGGCTTTCACGAACAACTCCATAAGTCAGAAAATGCATTCAATGTGCTGATAACAAGAAAACCAGAAACTTTTAAGGAAGAACAAGCTAACTTTTTCAAAAGCATTTCAAAATGTGGGATCAAACCTGCTGATCTCTCCCTAATTGCACCTCAATGCTGCATCTGTGCCTAATGAGATGAAATCCCTACCAAAGCCCCCAACAGAGCTATACAATGGTGATAATTTGGAGAATAACTTTCAGGAACCACTATGTTCATGTAATACACTCCAGCAACACACTTCAAATAATTTTGTCACTGGTTCTCAAGTTTCAGTGGTGTGACCACACGTCACATCAGTCTATTGTTATCTTCAAAACACCCCTTTTCTTGTTTATGTTTTCTGCAGCTTGTACTGTTATTTTTCTAGTTTTGTGTTCCTTTACTGCATGTAAAATATTACTTTATTTTTTATCATTTTCTAGGTAACATCTGTTGGTTATTTCCACTTATTCTATTCTAGATAATTTTACTTCTGTCCACTCCATTTTGGTTTCTGCCTTGTGTGATTTACCTGCTGAATTGCTGTTGGTTTGCAGTTACACTTAATTGCTTTGAAATCCTGGAATCCTTTTGGTCCAACTCACTCAACCACCGCCTCCTGTTACATAGACATAGCCTAAATTCAGTCGGAAGGTTTGGGCACCTTTTGATGGGCAACCCAGATCTGTTTGCAGCAGATGTTGATGAGTGGTAAAGCCCAGCTTAATGCAAAGGTCTTCAAGAAATTGTACAACAATTAGTTCTCTGATGAAGGGTACCACCAGAAGGACAAGAAGGAGAAAACAAAGTATTCTTTTGAACTGTTTTTAAAGGACCTAGAAGAAGGATTAGTCCAGGACTTGACTTTAGAGGACTTGCTTGTTTTCATTACTGGAGCAGATAACATTCCTCCACTTGGTTTCATTGTTGCCTTTTATAACATGGATTCAGAACCTAGGAGACTACCTTGGTCATCAACATGTTCACTTACCCTCAGCCTATTAAATGGTTTTGAGGATACCCAAAAATTTGATGCTTTGATTTGTAATGCACTGTTAAACTGCTAGGCATTTAGCAAAGATTAACTTTTAGTTAATGGCAATCCCTAGCTGGGTAGCAGCCTATTCTTTACAATAGCAAGACAAAGCCAAAATCTGTTGGATGCAAGATTGGAGACATGCACAGTCTATTGCATTTTTCATATCCAACATGACATGTAAAATGCACGTGGAAATATCAATTGATTTCGAGCAATAGCTGTGAACAGCTGTTCTGCTCTGCTAAAAATCAAGGACATGATAAACAAGGTGAGTTTTTAATATACACCTCTTTAATTGCTAGTTGAAGTCTTCATCAAGGTCATGAACAGTTTAGTGATTACTCTTGAAGAAGACAAGAGATATTTTAGTTTGGCTGCTCTATCATGTGAGCAATTTTTGCCAATTAGCAAATGGAGGTGCAAAGATATCATCAATCAAGTCACACTTCATGGAGACCCATTATTTTCTCAGTACATTCAGCAGCAGTGAAGTGTTGGGCAAATAATTAATGCTTTCATTCAGAGTTAACTGCCACCTGCAGCTTGCTGGTGTGAAGCCAACCTACTTTACGTCCAAAGCGACTTCCCTTCCACAGGTAAATTATTCACAGTATTCCATTTATTTCAAATCATATTATCAGTACTTCCTTCAAGCTCTGACACCAGCACCCACTTTCACATTGAAACTTCTAGTACAAGTTACTGTTAACCAACCAATCAACACTTGGTTCCCAAGATTCAAGTGACCTTGAGCTAAGAATTGAGACTTTCACTCACAACCATGACACATGTTAAAGTGCTGCAATGACTCAAGGGTAGGGATAAATATTTTAATAATAATAATACAAAATTTCTATAGCACCCTATTCAAGAGCTCCAAGGCGCTTCAAAATAAAATGTTTGATAAATTCGAAAAATAATAGGGCAAAATTACAATTATTTAAAGTAGCACTTAAAAGATAAGTTTAAAGATTGCTCTTAAAAAAATTAATGTAAGATTTAAACTATATTTTACATACTCTGGTAGATTATTCCAAAGTTTAGGGGCAAAAACCAAAAAAGCTAAATTTTAGGGCTTTGTAACCATTTCAAGAGAAATGGCATGTGAAAGAAATTGTTTAGATTCAGAAAACTAGTTGCAAATGGCTTCTTTTTCCATTTTAAGCACTAATGGATCTGAAGATTGATTTTTAGAAATCAACTTTGGAAAAAGTTCCAAATAACCCCAGACATTAATTATGCATTTCATTTCATTAATTATGTACGTGTATCATTGTTTTTCAAGACAATAACTTACTCCCAAGGGTTTAGCATATATACATTACTAATTAGCACTTACTGCTTCAATGATAGAGGAATCGATTGAGAGTGGCTTTTTATTCTCTATTTTTGTCCCGCATTCTTCTCCCCTTTATTCCCACTAATTTCTCCTTTTTTGTCTTTTTTACCTTCTTAGCAGCCCTGCTCAACCTTGATCCATTGCTCTTTAGTCAACATGTTATTACCAGACCATTACCAGACCATTACCTTAACCACTTTGCTACACAAATCAGTTAGGAGTTATCATCCAAAAATTACTTTTTGTTTTGCCTTTCCCTGAAAAAATTTTCATAACAATATGTGCATTGATATAATGCCCAAAAGGTCCCCTTTGCACTAAAGAATACATTTCTTCTTCTCTACAATTGGCCAAACACCACATAACAAACAAAATTTATTCATCCCTCTTTCTATTGACATCTACAAGACAAGAAGAGAAGAAGAAGAAGAAGAAGAAGATGGAAAGAATGAACTTATTTCGACTTTCTCATATCCTATCGGATCACAACTGGTGCTCGCACCATCAAAGAAAAGTGGGTATTCAGTGGCATTTGCAGAGAAACCAAGGCCTGCTTCCTCGTTCCGGTAGAGCATAGGGACAAAGATACACTATTGCCCATCATACGCGCTCAAATATTGCTGGGGACACGCCTGATGAGCGACTTATGGAGGGCTTACAATTGCCTAAATGACGAGGGCTATGATCATCTCACAGTAAACCACAGCTTAAACTTCTTTGAGCCAGACACTGGTGCCCACACACAGGGCATCGAAAATACATGGTGGGGATCAAGCGAGGTTGCCATGAACAGGAACATCCAAAGAACTTTTCAATGGCTACCTACAAGATTATATGTAGCATCAGCACAGAAACGATCACTTTGGAAACATTATGAAACATATCGCCCACCTTTATGAAGTCCAGAAAGACTAGATTAATAAAGGTTTCTTTGCATTACTGTATGCACTGGCCTTCATTATCTACTTTCGTCACTCGGGCATGAAAGGATAATGAAAGAATCAACCAAAACCACAAGAACACATTACCAGAAATCTGAGACATTTCGTTCATGTTATACTTCAGGTCTGCAGTGTACTTAAAGTTCTACAGAGCATGCCCAGAGGTGTTAGATTGCAAAACAACATGGCACAATCATCACGAGGCACAGATCGTGTGGATTACATTGCACTAAATAATCTTTCTTCTGCGGATTTTGAAACAGGTTCGAAAGGCAAAAGGAAATATAAACCTGGGGCAAAATTATATGAAGTGGAGAGGCTTGTCACCAAGTGGAAATCCTCGAATAAAAAGGTGCAAATGAATTCAAATGAAGCTCAATGATTATCTATTGGGTTCATTGTTTGACCGCAAGGGCTAAAATGGCACTCTTATTTCAATTTTATACAGGATGAAGAGTATCTAGTAAAGTGGAAAGATTGGCCGCCTTAGACAAGCTCTTGGGAGCCTTCTACCCACTTGTCTGATGAGTTAATCAGGTCAAATGAATTTTGCAATAAGCTAAATTGAATAAATTATTGGTTAACTTTTTACCGTGGCCTTTGAAACAATAATTTTAATTTTTTTCTCTCTAAACTAAATCTCGCAGGGGTTACTCTTATCGAAACATCAGTGCTGAACGACTAGACAAGGCTGCTGTTGTTTTCATTGAAGCAATATTAG